AAGATATCTCACTATTTTTGACTTTTCTGAGCCTGTCAAGTCCTTCTTTTGACCCATTTTGCCAAAGGAAAGGACGTTGCCTAATAATTATGCACACTTGATATAGGGTGTTGATGTCATTAGACCGTACCCCTTCTCATTGCAGAGATGCACATCGCCTAATATGCTTAATTGGTAGTAGGCTTTCGAGCCTATACACCTCGGAGTAAGACAACATGCATGAAGAGGATGATGTGGACAAAATACTAATTTGCCTAATAATTCTGCACTCCCTGTACACTTTAATACTCTGATTCCACAGAACAGGGGCCTGAAAACTGAACACTCTGCCTCTACTTCTCCCTTTAAATATCCTAGGAACTACAAGTAAGCCCGCACACTGAGAGCAAAGTGCTCAGTTGAGGTGATACTGTACTATAAGGTCTTTAAGACCTGCTGGCGTCTGATTATACAGTACCTTCTATGTGAGGAGAAGAATTTTAAATTGTATTCTGGATTTAACAGAGAACCAATGAAGAGAAGCCAATAGAGGAGAAATATGCTCTCTCTTTCTAGTCCCTGTCAACACTCTTGTTACTGAAGGCTTCGCAGGGAGTTTTTAGGACATCCTGGTAGTAACAAATCACAGTAGTCCGCTCTAGAAGTAAGAAATTCATGAACTGGGTTTTCAGCATCACTCTGAGACAGGATGTTTCTAATTTTAGAAATATTGAAGAAGAAAGCAGTCCTACATAATTGTTTATTACAGTATGTACATTGAAGGACATATCTTGGTCAAAAAACTACTCCAGGATTCTAGAGGCCAAGGCAAAGCCACCCAGAGTAGGGAATCTGGTTAGATACCATATTTCTTCACTTATTTCCTGGACTCCCATTATTCTTACTAAATGTCCAATTAGTGCAAAATCAAGTTAAAACAAATCCTTTTTATGCTATCAAAGACATACTGGTTCTTGTCAATCAAGATCATTAATGGCAATTTAATAGATGTTTACTGTGTCAAGTTAAAAGACATTGTTCAACCTTTAGCACCACTTATTACAGACTTGTGAGTGTGTGCACATATTGAGCCTATATGTATAGGTTTCATATTCTGTGGATTTTAAAAAAATTAAACCAAATTCCAGCTTGTGCACCCAATTCTTGCTTTTTAAAGTCATTAAATGTGTATGTTGTACAACAATTCCATCCAGGCGAAAGAACTAAGAGTTAAAAGAAATCACTGAAGGCTCAAAATTACCATGACATTCATTCCCATAACGAATGAATGTAAACATCTGACCACAACTGTAATATTGATTTGTTATAACATTACTGGTAAGACGGAACCAACAGGTGTAAGCTATCTACTTTAGGTGGTAAAGAGTGGCATGAGTATTTATGTTTTCATTTTGAATGGCACACTTGCAGTTACTTTCATGTAAATACTGCTTCAACTGTTGATAATGGTCCTCTTCGTGGTTTAACTGGCTAAAAAGCGCTCCATCTCAACAATGAGTAGAGAATCACTTGAAATCCATTTTGACAACTATCATGTTTCAAGCTGTATCATGGCCAAAATAAAATAATAAAGCCATCCATGCACTGATATGAGAATTTTTTATATCAAGTAATGGCTAAAATACATTTAATATTAAGCAACTAGTAACTATAGTTAAAATTGATTTTGAAAACGTACAGGTCCATGAAAACATACAGGATTACAAGAAAATTATTTAAAATGTATAGAACTGTTGAATACTTACATAGTGCATAGGTAAGCCACTCAGGCTGGTCATAGTGTACTATAGCTACACACAGTGTATTTAGGCCAACCAGACATAACACTGTCCAGTAGAAGCTCTGGGATTTAACCAGACGCCGGATGGTGAAGCGAATCCTCTTCTCTTTCCTCCTGAAGTAAGATGAACTCTCATTCTTGCTCTTCACACTTGCCCGAGCATATGGCGACCCTGGGGGGGCAGTTGGAGCAAAAGATACAAAATTGCAATAAAGTTACCACGTCTAAAAATGAGGTGCTCCTTCCAAATCAAGATATGTTTGATTATAATCAGCTAGAGCCATGGATCTTAAAGTAGATTAAGACTGATCATTCTTACAGACAGATTACAGAATTGGCTTAGTATTCCTGGCACTTCTCATTATATTTATCCTCATCTTTACTTTATTTGGCCCAGACAGCTAAGGAGGTCTGCTTTTACACTTAGCCCAAGGTTAACAACATCAAATCAGCTGTTAGGAAGCATTGTATTATTTTTGACCAGTGTTTGTTTTGAATAGCACCTCTCAAAGATCATCCAGTCTTATTTCTTTAATTTAAGAAACATCCCAAAAATCAAACTGAAACCCAATAATATGTAACTTTTAGTACGCACTAGTGGTGGGTTTAAAAAATTGATTTCCCAATTCAAATTGATTTTAGTTTGAGCAATGTGATATCGATTGATTAAATCCTAAATTGATTTTTAAACACAAATGTATTTTGGCAGAAACACCAGAATCTCAGGTTAAAGCTTACAAAACTAATTCTAGTTTTTACCCTCAAACAACTAAAACAGCAAATGAGAGCAGGTAAACGGATTCTACAAAAAGACGCAAACACAAAGAGCATATCCCAGTTTACCGGGCATGCCGTCAAGTGCTGAACGCCATCTCACAGTACATCTCACAGATTCTGGAGTGGAGCTGCAGGTTTTGTCCCTCTCCAACCAAATGTAACTGAACAAGTAGCAAAAGAATATCAAAACTACGCTTTACATTTGATAAACATTGTCATGAATTCCCTCTTACTTTTGCTTTTACATCCCCCACCGCTCTCACTCTCAGTGTACTCAGAGGCCAATTTACCATCAAAAAATTGTATTTTCTGCATTATTCACTTACTTATTGTGCTTCCAGGCTTATTACACACCAATTTACTGTTGTGCACAGTGCTTGTTTGTTCAAAAATGACCTCCAACGAGAAAGCATGATTCATGCTGTTCAATACCAAAGAAATTTAAATTTTTACAAATTATGCCAAATTGCAAAGCGCTTAGCTTTGTCTCTAATAAAACCTCTGTAACTTTCAGCAGCATCAGGTAATGTTCATATATTGATTCATGGTTTTCTTCTGTTTTTTTTTTTTTAATTCTTTCTTGTTCCTATTTAGCCTCTACTATATTAAACTTTCAGTAACTTAAATTAAGCCCAAATGTCAAGTGGGACTGGACAAAAAAGGAAAGGAGAAAAATGGTTCCATTAGAATTTCATTACTGGCACAGGAAGACTAGTGGGATAATCATTTCCTGTTCTATTTTAAACCCGACCTGTCATGATCCTGGGCCATGTTGGCCCAGCATTCTTAGTTTTCATGTATTTTTGTATTTTGTTCTTTATTTAGGCCATGGCTCCTGTGTTGCTCTGTTAAGTTGTTCCTTATTTGATTTCCCCTTGTGACTTTTATGTGCATGTCTCCCTCAGTTCAGTGTCGCGACTGTCTCCTCCCCGAACATGTGTGCCTTTTTGTGTTCCCTCGGTCCTCAGTTAGCATTCCCAGTTTAGTTCTGTTTCTTTGTGAAGCCTGCAATAAAGCAGTGATTTTGAGTTCAGCTTTTTGTCTCCGTGAGTTTTGCGTTTAGGTCCTCATCTGCCTCCACACAGCCAGTTTATGACAGTACGACGCGACCAGTCATGGACCCAGCAAACTCCTTATGGAATCGGCAGCGTGCAGACTCCGCCTTTCCTAATGAGAGGAGAAGGCAGGAGGCTCGGCACGGAGCGCGAGTCTGCCTTTTATGCAGGGCTCTAGAGTGCGACCAATTTGGTCGCAAATGCGACCAAATTTTTCAGTGGTGCGACTAAAAAAAAATATTTGGTTGCACCTGTGCGACCAACTGTTCGGGTAGCAAAAAAAAAAAAAAATCTGCAAACTTCCCTGTGGTCAACAACAGACACACATTATGCCCCTATCGTGGACTAAACCAATCAGAGATAGTAAGGGGTGGGACCTCTCTGATTGGCCGTGGTCCAGTTGAAAGTGCAGGTGGAAGTGAGAGGTGATTTCTTTGGAAAAATAAACCCCCACGTATAAGCTTAAAAACACTACAAAAGACCAAGGATAAAGGAGGACTAGAACTGCCTAACTTTCA